TTTTTTTTTTTTTTTTTTTTTTTTTTTTTTTTTTTTTTTTTTTTTTTTTTTGTCTGTATTCTATTGGGTTTTTGTTTCCTACAATTTAAAATGATAACGTGTTATGGGATATGAGTTGTAAGAGATTCAAGAGACTGTGAGGAAACTATCGTATATTCGCATTTGAAGCGGGGAATTGAAATGGATAGCATATTGAGAATATTACTGAAAATGTAGGTGCGTGGATTCTTGGGGCAGCAGCAGCTGGAGGCTGCGCTTACTGGCATGGATCTTGTTATTATCCCTGCAGGTGTTCCTCGAAAACCAGGAATGACAAGGGATGATCTATTCAAAATCAATGCAGGAATTGTTAGGACTCTGTGTGAAGGGATTGCAAAGAGTTGTCCAAGAGCCATTGTCAATCTGATCAGTAATCCTGTGAACTCCACCGTGCCCATTGCAGCTGAAGTTTTCAAGAAGGCTGGAACTTATGATCCAAATCGACTTCTAGGAGTTACGATGCTCGACGTCGTCAGAGCCAATACCTTTGTGGTATGCCATAGTCCATTAGGCTCGTTCCCTTTTATTAGATCATGGTTGTCTATCTTCACTTAACTTATGTCATGTCTTCATGTTATTCTGTCTTTATCAGGCAGAAGTATTGGGTCTTGATCCTCGGGATGTTGATGTTCCAGTTGTTGGCGGTCATGCTGGTGTAACCATTTTGCCCCTTCTATCTCAGGTTTGTACTGGTTTCTGATTTGATTAAATTACACGATGTCCTTGATTTGTTTTAGTTACATTTCTGGTTGTGTTCTTGTGTATAGGTCAAGCCTCCAAGTTCTTTCACACAAGAAGAGACTATTTACCTGACTGATAGGATTCAAAATGGTGGAACAGAAGTTGTGGAGGTAAAGAATTCATTTGTTTGTTGTACTCGATATGTGCTATAACCAGAAATGCTCAAACAGATTTTTACATGTGAGATCCCACTTAGAGAGGAGAACAAAACATTCCTTACAAGGGTGTGGAAACCTCTTTCTCGCGAACAAGTTTTAAAATCGGTGGGCTTGTGTGCTATTACTGTTGAATCCACTGTGCTGTATTCTTATCATCACTATCACAATAGCTTATTATACCAATTTGACACTGCCTCCAGGCCAAAGCAGGAGCTGGTTCAGCAACTCTCTCCATGGTCGGTTTCTCTTCAACCCTTTTCATCATCTAATGGGTTAGATTGTTTGGGTACCATAAATGTAGAAAATAGAAGAAAAAAGTACGAAGGGTAACCAGAAATGCTATATTGACCAATATATGGTAAAAATGTGTAGGCGTATGCGGCTGTTAAGTTTGCAGATGCATGCCTGAGGGGCTTAAGAGGAGATGCTGGTGTTGTGGAATGCGCGTTCGTGGCTTCTCAGGTATGCATGTTTTGTACAAATTATTGGCCTATTCCTTTTCAGGAATGTGAATAATGTTGAGCTGAGATTATATGTTTGCTTGGTACAGGTGACTGAACTTCCATTCTTTGCATCAAAAGTACGACTGGGTCGCAATGGGATGGAAGAAGTGTACGGGCTTGGGGCACTGAATGAGTATGAAAGGTACGCCAAAATGCGAAGTTGTTGAACAAGCATGAGGTTGAATATGGATTGAGTATTGATTTTGACAGGATTGGATTGGAGAAAGCGAAGAAAGAGTTGGTAGGGAGCATTGAGAAGGGAGTTACCTTCATCAGAAGCTGAGAAGATATGCCAATTTCAATATATGGTGTCAGTTGACCTTGTATTAAATGTAACGCAGATAACGTGGACATTTTTTTTATTGTAAGGTAGAAATATTAAATGAACATAATATTAATAATAGACATCTCCACCACCCATGTGGGTTGCTTGCTTCGTATTCAACAATCGCTTCAATTACTGTGAAAAAAGCAATCTTTTTGTGGTGGAAGTGCTATTTTCGAGGTCATCAAAACCAAAATCAAAAGAGAAAAGAAAAGATATGATTTTTTTTTAATGTTATTTGTTAAAGAATATTTTGGTGTACTTAGAGAATGAGTTTCCAAATTTTCAATTGGGTTCCCCACCACTTTCAGTCTTCTTGTTCTGACACCCACTCTGTGCGTACCTTTCTTGATTTCCTCTGTCTGGAAAAATTAGCGAAAATTAATGAGAAAAGAAGAAACCTTTGAACAACATTACTACCGTAAACCTTAATCCCCTCCTCCCCCAAAAGATAATTAACGACATTGCAGCTACAAGAGAGCCTAAGCTGTCTTCTTTCTTTTGTTTTGTTTTCTTTTAATGATAGACAGTTGTGTTCAAGTGCTAAGAAGATCTGCTGGCGGCTGCTGCTGGTCTTTTTTGTTCTCGGGTCCTGTTGTTTGAATGTCTAATGCGGCGGCTAATGCTGGTGTTGGTGGTGGTGGTGAGGAGTTGGGGAGTGTTGAGTCTTCCCGTTTTGAACATGGTGGCTGTGGAATCTCCGATAGGATTTGGATCACTTCTCGCATTGTCGGGCGCTCTACCGCCTGTTCTTCAACGCACAGCATTGCGACGTAGAAGACGTGCATCACTTCGTGGCGAGGAATGGAGGAGAGCCTTGGATCAAGGATTTTCACTACCTCTTCCTTGTTTGAGTCTGTCATTTTTCTAACCCATTGAACTATGTCCACACCATCACCAAATTCTCCGACCGGTTTTCTTCCACTAACGAGCTCCAACAAGACGACTCCAAAACTATATACATCACTCTTCTCATCGACTTTTAGCGTGTAGGCATATTCTGGAGGGAAGAAAAAGGATCAGAAATATCTCAAGAAGCAGAACCATTGAATGTGTTACCTTCCAGAAAAGTAACAATTTTCACACCATTCATCGTCCAACTTTGGACTTGAAATGGAAAGCAATCCATAATGGTTAAACAATGAAGAGAACTTTGGATGCAGTCAAAAGCATGCTTTTATGATTCATTCATTGACTTGCAAAGATGATCACCATTAATGTTCTCAGGACACAGAATTTAGCCACATTCTTCAGTTCAATATCAAGCTCCCAAGTCAAACTACAGATCATATATTCATGCGAGTCATAGAAAAATAAGGCTAAAACACTTCAAAACAAGAGTGAAGATTCAAATTTCGAGTCCTTAAAGAATATTAGGAAGAAGGTTGCTTCTTGGTCTGCTGCATATAAATGATTGACATAAAGTTTCAAGCTTGGAATCATACCTGGGGCAATATATCCATAAGAACCAGCAATAGCAGACATGCACTCAGAAGTGCCGGAATCCTGTAAGAACTTGGCCAGACCAAAATCAGCGACGTGAGCTTCAAAATTAGTGTCAAGAAGTATGTTGTTTGATTTCACATCGCGATGAACAATGAGTGGCGAGCAATCGTGGTGGAGATAGCAAAGCCCTTTAGCGGCTTCAATAGCAATCTTGTACCTTGTATCCCACTGAAGGTGACCCCCTTTTTTGCCATGAAGAACTTCCCCCAAGCTCCCGTTAGGCATATACTCATAAATCAAAAGATTAGTCTCATGGTTTGAACAAAACCCCAATAGTCTAACGATATGTCGGTGTCGAATCCTCCCAAGAGTTTGTATCTCAGCGTTGAATCCATGGTCGTGGGACGATCCACGGCTCATCGCTGGCAGCCTTTTGACGGCGACATGGTCACCACTTGGCATCACCCCTTTATAGACAATGCCACCCCCTCCTTTTCCAATAATGTTATCCTCTTTCAAGCAATCAAGAACATCATCAACTGTGTAATCTAGGCGTTGGAAGGATGTTAATTTCCAAGCCCGAGACTCACTGGCTTTCTTTAGCGATCTAGCTTTGATGATGGCAGCAACTGCAAATGCAATTGAGCAAAGAAGCAGACCAATTACAAGGAGGAGCTTGAGGGAAGCAAAGAGAGGGCCCTTTAAGCGTTGTTGGTAATTGCTATTGGCAACCCCATCTTTGCATGGCCCCAAATATGGTCCGCAGAGATCGGGATTGCCCACAAACGAAGTATAATTGAAGTAACTGAATTGCCCAGTTACCGGAACTAAACCAGAGAGGTTGTTGTATGAGAAATCCACAGAGGTTAAACTCTGCATTCTGGCTATGGAAGCAGGGATTCCGCCGACTAAATGGTTTCTTGAGAGATTCAGGTAATTTAATATCCTCATACTGGTAATCTCGATCGGAATTTCTCCCGAGAGCTCGTTTCGACTGAGATCGGCGAAGGTTAGAAGCTTGCATTGGCTAATCTCCGGCGCGATTGGACCCGATAACTTATTGTTACTGAAATCAATCTTCGAAAGTTGCTGTAACCGCCCAATCTCAGGTGGGATTTGACCGGAGAACTTGTTTCCGTCGAGAAGTAGTTTCTGGACGCCGGAGAAGTTGGCGATTGTAGGTGGAATCGATCCGGTGAGTCGGTTGTTCGAGAGACTAATCTGGCCGAGATTCTTTGAGATTGAGTCGGTTATTGGGAATTCGCCGGAGAGAAGATTGTCCTGTAACTCCACCTGAGAGAGCTTGGGCAGACTCAGAAGCCCCTTCGGAATGGATCCATTGAGAAAATTTTCCCCCATACGAATACGATTAAGTGAAACGCATTTGCCTAGCGATTCTGGAATCGGACCGAACAAAAAATTGCTCAATGCGATCAGAGTTTGAAGCCGATTACCGTAGCACACATCAGGAGGGAGAGTTCCAGTCAGCTTGTTGGAAGAAATATCCAGAATCCGAAGCATTCCGTTCTTCCCCAGGTTCTGTGGAATCGCTTCCGTGAAATTATTCTCCCATAACTGCAACACCTCCAGCTTCGGCAAGTCGCCAATAAAGGAAGGAATCCCTCCATGTAGCTTGTTTCTAAACAGATTCAACAGCGTCAAGTTCTTCAACTCGGCGAACGATACGGGAATCTCACCCACAAGCATATTGTTCGACAAATCCAACGACTTCAAGTTGTTCAACTCTCCAATCTCCGGCGTCAGTGGCCCAGATAGAGCATTAACTTGGAGAAACAGAGTATCAAGGCTCTTCAGCTTTCCGAGCTCCGGCGGAATCCGTCCAGACAGTCCACAGTTCGCAGCGTCCAACCGTACCAACTCCGACAAATTCCCAATCTCGGCCGGAATACCGCCGTCGTAGGCGTTAAAGTAGCCAATGTAGAGCTCTCGAAGGTTCTTCAAGTTTCCAATCTCGGGCGGTATCGGACCGCCAAGTTCGTTACCGGAAACCGCCAAGTACTCCAAAGACTGCAGCCGACCAACCTCCGACGGGATCCGTCCGGTAAAGAAATTTCCACCCAAATGCAGATGGCGAAGGCTCAACATTTCAGTGATCACAACGGGGAAATCTCCAGTCATATTGTTATTATACAAGTCAAGAACCTGCAGATTCTGGAGCTCTGAAAGCCGCGAAGGGAACGATCCATCGAACACATTATTAGAGAGGTTAAGGAACCGAAGGTAAGAGAGTGAAGAAATCTCCAGCGGGATTGGACCAGAAAACTCATTGGCAGCAAGAGAAAGATTAGTAAGAAATCTTAAAAAGGCAACATCAGGGGAAAGGGAACCGGAAAGGCCGAGACCAGAGAGGTCTAAGGCAATGACATGGCGACGGAAATCGCAAGTGACCCCAAACCAAGTACAGTGACTGGTGGAGGCGTTCCAGGAAGAGAGAGAGGATTTGGGGTCGCCAGTAATGGAGGTTTTGAGGGAGAGAAGGGCACGATACTCAGAAACACCAGCAGAAAGAGAATGGTGAATGTGGAGTTGGAGTTGGAGAAGACAGAGGAAAACAAGAAGAAGGCGCATTTTGTTTGTGGGTTTGTTGATGGAATGGGAAATGTGGGATTTTTCCGGCTGTTCTTCAAATTTGCAGAGTTAGTTTGAAATTGGGGGAGGGAGCGAGAGAGCTCAGTGAGGGAACAAGAACCTCAATAAAGTGAATCATATCGCACATTATATATAAATATATTTTTTCGATTCCAAAAATTTGAAGGTCTTTGACTTTACAATATAAAGTTCATATCTTAATGTGAACATTTATATTGGACATGATGAATAAACAGCAGGGTTGACAAGACACTGAACTTTAGAACGACTTTTGCCATAACTTCGGCTGTTTTTTCATGGTTCTGCGATTTTGTGTTTGCAGCCCTGTCTGCACCTTTGGTAAGAGTAAGTGGGTTGAAGAAAGGAGTGAAGAGTGATGATGAAAAGAGGTGATAATAGTTGGTGGGTTTGTGTGTTGTAGAGATAAGGTTACTCAAACTCCAATCCAAAGGCCAAAACCATCTTTGGTTCTTAAATTTACACACACTCACACACTCGCAGGCCCCACAAGTCCCAGAAATAGTCACAAACTACCTTTACTCTAAGGGCTGCAGCTTGCTTAAGCCTGTGACCCTCGTCCTTACGGGACATCGCTAATCGACAAACTCACCCCAGATTGGTCCCCCGATAGTAGCAAAATGACGAAGCAGTCCTCCTTCCAGGACAAAGAAAGCGACGCCATAGTGGGGAGGTATCCTTCGCATTGTAAAATTCTAATTTTCTTTTACCCTTGTCTCGATGTTTGAGATATATACTTTCATCATCAGCAGCAGCAGCAGCAGCAGCATGGTGAATAAGAAAATGTTAAATGATGATGATGGATTGAGATGCATGAGAATTCAGAATCCGACATCATTCAATATTGGATCCAATGCCCTGCGATGTTGGGTTTACAGGCACCATCCTACCGTAACCAAAGGGTCATTTCTTTTTCTATTTCCCTTTCCAAGTGAAGAGGGAAATGTGTGGATATCACATATTTGACCAAATTTATGAGATGATGGGTATGGTGGTTAGGACGAGTTCAACTCAGTTGAAGGAAGAGGGAACATGGATAAAATAAACACATACAGGCGATTGCGTCCAATCCAAGGAACACAGCCATTGTGGGATCAAGTTGGTGGGTGTGTTTTAAATTTTCGAATCCCTCTTGCCAATTGCATTGCACTGCATGAGAATAAGGAAAAAAAGAAAATAATAAAAAAACTTCACACCACAAAACACGTTATCTCACTTGCTATTCTTTGTCTTGGGCTGTGAACATTTTGTCCCCTCTCTTTCTCTCTCTCTCTATGGCTTCTCAGTCTGAACTCTCACCTTCACTTCTCACAGAACAGAACAAAACAAAACAAAACAAAACAAAGCATGGTTTGAACAATAATAGACACCATTTTCTTTTTTAGGGGTAAACGACACCTGATATCCATTTATCTAAGTCTAGGCAGGGCTGTCACTGTTGGACTTCACCATGTGCACCAATCTCTACACCATCACTGCACAATTCAATACGCCAAATTTCCTGCCATTGCTTTAGCCTTTATGTCCTCAGATACCCACAAAAAACAATAACTTCCAGTATATCAGTTTGTCTATATTCCTGAACCGGCAAAAGCTTTAATGTCCTGGCCCGGTCCATTTTAAAGAGAAGGAGAGAGGTTTCAGATTGTTTAGTATGGTTTGGCATAATCTATTGTAGAAAACAGGCAACTCTATTTGGTTTCCTTCAACTGACGTAGTTTGGGAAAAGTTGAAGTGACATAAGAAAGGGAACAACACTTCCCCCCTTCAACTATAGCTATATATGCTTACAAGTGAAGAAGAAAAAGAATGATCTAGTTTCTTATAAAATTTTGAAAAGTTAGAAATCAAAATTTTCTTTCTGGGATGAAGCAAGGAACACAGCTCCAGCGCCGGACCCCCCATGAGAATGTTCCACTATCACATTGTCTGAAAGTTCATTTCCAAGCATTTCCCATATGCTACTATTGAGATAGTTTCTAAACACCCTGTAATGCTCGTAAAGCCCACCTTCCACTGTCACTATGTTTCTTTTGTTTTCAATCCTCCCCAGCTTCTTAACGATCCCCACAATGCCAGCTCCAGCAAGACGGGCTGCACGTTCTGACACGACATCGCACACCTCAGCAACAATTTCTCTTGCCATTGGAGTAGAATCAGTTATCTTGCATTCATAGAGAACATGTCAACCAGTGTGGAAGAGAAGTGCAACTAAATGCATGCTTTGATATATAATAGAGACTAATTTGAAAACACCCCCATCATCCCTATTGTATACTAAGGGTCTATAACTATAAGAAGTTCATGATCTGATCTATGTGGTGTGGGAGGAGGAAAAAATTGATCAGTGTTCAATGCTTTAATGATCCTCACCCCAAAAATTTCTTTCAGCTTTTCGTTGACAACTTCTCGATCTTCTGAAGTATCCTGATGCATTGCAGCCATATCAGGTGACCTATAACAAAATCGATATAAGTCAAATTGTCAATTGTCAATTGTTCAATATGGTTCGGTATTTGTTCGTTTCAAGATGCAATCGTCATGTAAATCCATAAACCAGATTTCACAGCGTTATCACAAAAATAAGCCACTCCAGTTCAGTTTTAGGATGGAAATATGCTCAATTAGCCCAGCTTTGCATTGTTTTCCAAACTGTCGTACTAACTACCGTTTAATTAACTGTTGTGTTGCAACTAATAATACCGGACTGCTTGAAAACGAATGTCAATACCTTAGCAGATAAGGGGTCATAAGCTTTGGAGGTACGGGATCCCCAAATAATAATGTTTCCTGTGCCATTTTTACCAGGACTCTTCTCACAATCTCTCCCAAATAGGTTCCTGATACCAACTTTTGGAATACCTGAGATAATTGAAGAATTGTTAGCCAATCTAGATTAGGATTCTCTTCGAGTATGAGCGGTTACGATCGATCTACAATCTGCCATACCTGACTACCGGGGTTTAAACTTTCAGAATCTAGACAAGCATCAAACTCGGTTATTGGAAGGTGCGGTGAACGAAAATTTCCCCACTCCATGCTGATTCCCTGCAATATAAGAACAGCATGAGACTGATCTTCAAGTTGCAATACCATTTAGTTGGCTAATCTTACTAACCATCTCCCTTGACGTTCGTGATGGTCCATTTAAGTGAGCAAGTTCTTGTGCTGATTCTATATAAGCAGCATTCGTGCCCATGCCTAAAGTTATAGCAGCAACACTATCCCTGCAGTAGTATCTACCTCCAGCTAAATTCCCAACAGTATCATCAACCTACTCAAAAAATCGAAAATATCACAACAAAGCTGGAAGCCTGGAACTAGTTTTGTGAAAAGGAACTTTTGGTTCAAATATACAGCTGCATACCATTGCAGAGACACGAAGGTTCACACCATGCTTATTCAAAGCCCGGTTGATGTTTTTCACCATATTCTTTCCAACCTGAGTTCATAATTATATTTGGTTTCAGCCATGTAAGAGATGTCCATCATATTCCATCAATAGTAGATAAAAGTGGCAAATTTTCTATAACATGTGATATAGATTCAAAACAGGTCCATCAGAATAACATAGGGATTTAAATCGTCTGCATTGTGTTAATCTCCGTCTGAATGATCATTTATTCACCATAGATTGTTGTAGTTCTATGAAAATACTATGTGAGAGAATGCAAAGGGACGGGAGTGATTATACTCAACTGTGTCATCAGCGGAGAAACTATCCCATTTAATTACATTTCCCAATGTGGCCGCAGCATCATCCACTGGATATGATAACGTAAAGCCCAGCTCCGTCCTCTTCACCGGTTCATTTTCATTCTCTGGATGAGCGGAAACAAATTTTGCAACCTCCGCAGCAATGAAGTCGAACAGATCCTGTTTCCAACAAAATTCAAATAAAACCTTCGCCAAAGCCACTGATCATAATCTAATTGTGATAAAGGGGAGTGCTCAAATTCTAATTCCTGAGGTGGGATACAATCTGAACCATGATTCAGTACCATAAGTCGAAGTGTAGGTAAAACGAACCTCAGAATTACCATTCATCACATTGGAAGGGATCGAAATCTCCTCGCGATGAATATCAGAGATGGGTGCGTTCTTTCCCCCAAGCCGAGCGCACAAAATCAAGAAATTGGTTCCCCGCAAATTAACCCCATAATAAAACCCTTCCTCATCTCTATCACCCAAATACAAGCATAACAAATGCAAGCCATTAGCAATTCAAATTTCAAAAGATAAAGGGCAGCAACAAAAAATAAAAATACCCATTGGGGAAAGCGTCGGCGTAAGAGACGAGCATTTTGAGAGTGGCTTTGCCACGGGTTCCATCCGATGCAATGGAGGCCCGCATATCGGACTCCAAATCATCGGCGATCTGCCACAACTTGGGTACGGGAGTTGCACAATCCCGAGCGAATTTGCGGAGAATTCGGTGTGCTTGCTTCAACTGCCATTGTTTCCTCCGCTTCCATCTCCTCAGCGCGGCGGCGGCGACTACCAGAGTGGCAGTAGCGGCCAATGCGGCCACCAGAATCTCCTTCCGCATGGGCATGGCTGGTGTGTTGTTGAACAGTGTGATTCCTTCGAAGGGAATATAAAATCAGGAAGTTCCAGTTTGGATATGCAGTTAGTTCCGTTGATCATCTCTCCCATCTCCATGGATCAAAGAAATAACAGAATTCAGTTACTGGGAAACACAGAACGCGAATTATGGATACCAACGGCCGATCGCTATGCCGTTGGGTGCTTCCAATCTTTCAACACTATCCATTAGGATCTAGAACACGTCGCGCCCTTAATTTCGCACCCTTTATTTATTTATTTAATCAGTTCAAAAATAAAGAAATTCTCTCGGCCCAATATCATCAGTTCAATAGGCCTTCGATGTTGGTAATTGGGCCTGCTAGTAACAGAACATCACCAATCACATCATCCCACGTAAGCCCTACCCACCTAAGACGCTGACTATATGAATATTCATGGTTGGAAGTGGTTTGGTTAAAATTTAAGAAATAAAACATGAAGCGTTGACAATAGAGAGGAATATAAGATCTCGTAATCTTAATGGGACATCGGCTGTCTCCTCTTCCTCCTCTCTTCCACTCTATCCGGACACCCCATAAATTGTTTTCTTTATACTCAGGAGTTGTCTTAATTAAGTTGCAATGGAGCTGTCAGATCCAGATAATTAGTTGTAATATCCTTGTAGTTGTCTTAATTAATCCATAATAATCAACATCTTACAATAATTAATTATAGATCCGTATGCAAAGGAGACTCCCCAAAAAAACGGGAACTGGGGGGAAAAAAGTCTTGGATTTACAGCACATGTGGGTGTTTTGTTATCCTAAATTTCCTTAACGTGGTCAAAGATCTGCCCCACGCAAAAAAATGCAAAGAAATTTTTTTAAAAAACAAAACGCCCTCGTGCTGAACATATTCTGGAGTAAAATGGAAGCAGATCATCAACAGTTAATTGGAGCTTTGTAGGCAAAAGGCAACCTTTGTGACTGAGAGTGGCAAAGCTCTGTAATTTTACACGAATTGTAGGCAAGCCTGTCGTAGTTTCTGCACTAGCTCCTTCACTGTCATGGAAAAGCCATCACCCATCTGCAATTACATAGTAAAGCAAATGAATTTAGTCCCATAATAAGCTCATTCTCCAGAAATGACAGTTTTGAAATGGAAAAATATCCACAGTACCTGAGCTATAATGGTTATATCAATCCTGAAATTGCCAAATGGCAAGGCACTGCTGTTGAGAACTGTTAGATTAAGCTCCTCTATGTGGTTTAGTATGTTTGAAAGGCAGCCTTTGCATTTCTTGCCATGAATCTTCAACAGAACATCCTTCCCAGACACTCTGGCTTCTATCTCTGGAATGGCTCTGTCGGATGAGCTGTTTTCCTCTGAGGAATCGTCTTCCACCACGGCAGAGACATCCTCGGATCTGTTCACAAACACCACTGATTCCACTCTTGATTTGGCTGCTTCTTCATCCGCAACCTTCAAACGATCTTGAAGATCCTTGATGTATGTTATTGCATCCCCAAGAATAGACGCTTTGTCCATCTATTACCAAAAACCCATTTGATCCGTTAAATAATGTCAATAAAATCTTGAATTTTAAGGTCAAAATTAGATGTTGTACTCACCTTCTTGAGGTGTGGAATAAGAGCTGAAAGAGCAACGAATCGCTGGCTGAGCTTTTCTCTACGCTTTCGCTCAGCTATGACATGATCTTGAGCAACCAAAGCGGTGCGATAATTCATAGCCGAAGCGCCCCTCTTCATTCCCACACCATCGTATTTTGGGGAACAATTTGGATTGTTCTCATAGGAACCTTGAGGGATGACCGATGACAAATCAATGTTCCCTTCGCACCCAATCTCGAATTTGGGCTTCACGTTGCTGTAATTGCCATTGTTCCCAACTAATTTGTTGGAAGCAGGAGGAGAAGAAGAATGGGAATTCCCAAATGAAATGATGTGTGATGAGGAAGAAGAAGCAGCCATGGAAGCAATTTGACGGGTCGTGGAAGAGTTGTTCCAGCTGCCACTGGTCCTCGGCTGCTTGGCCGGCGGCGGCGGCGGAGTTTGTACGGAGTTCTCAAGATCTAGGTGGGATGTGTGGCTTTCGTCAGAGAAAGTTTGGAAACTGAGCTCGTCTAGCGTGCACTCAAAAGGGTTCATTTCGAAATCATCCATAAATGCAGATTCCAAATCCTAATTATAACCAAAACCCAATAAACATAAGATCAAGCAAAAAAAGAAGCGAAAACGAAGTTGAAAAGGCAAAAAATTAGGCATAAAAGTGTTTACCATATCAGATAACCATTTTGCAGATGAGATTTCCATTGCGAAAAGGGTCAACAAAACTAAGGTTTGGGTGTGTGTGTTTATCAGTTCACAATCGAATGAAGCGAGCAAGAAGATTGTTAGGTAGCTTTATAGGTGCTACCCTACGCGGTTTGCGGTTTCATTTATTATAAACATTATATAAATTGATTTGGCACGTGTGAATTCAGCTTCCTCCGCTTTTGGGGGCTCTTTAGTCTTTTCACTTCAATTTTGAACTTCTTTTGGTCAATTAATCCATGTATTTTCCTCACGCTTTCTCCTTTTCCTTTGGACTGCAACACTATTCCCAAATTTCTGAATCTTATTTATATTTGGAAAAAATTTGGGTGAGCCACTTGGTCAGAATCGAAATGATAATGAGATGCGACGTTGTACGAGATTGGAGCCTGGTCGTAGGTCAAATGGTAAAGGGTATAATGCTTGGCCAAACAATGGCTCCAATTCCGTGCCTTAAAGTTTAATCACTTCCCTCACCCCCATGTAATCTAAACCTCCCTCTAATCTGAATGCAACACCCAGTTTTTAATACCGTTCATCTTAACTCAGAGATTCTACTCTCTTTTCACAATGACTTTCAGATTAATAATTTGATTAAACAATATCAGGGGAAGATCACATATGTAATGTTTATGAGATTTTTCGCCGCTAAGATTGGAACTGGGAAAGATTTTTATAAAAACGGAGACATGAAAAGCACAACCATTTATGGAGTTATTTTATTTGAGATCTCATGTGTTATATCAAATATAATAAACATAGGAATTATTATTGTTTTAATTTTCTCCATTTGTTTTATATAAATAATTATACATGTCCCAGTCATATAATGGGGGCTGATTACGCTGAATTTTTTGAGTAACCCAACACTGCATTCACATGAAACCGTTGATGAATTATTATAATACATAAATAATTCAACTCACCAAAACATAGAATTAACCATGATTAGTTTCCCTAGTTAACAATAACTTATGCATATATTATTTGTAATATTATCCTTATGGTTTCTCTTCTTATTCAGATGCATGTTCTAAGAATTATTCTCTCCCTTGTTATTAGTATCTCTTTCGCTCTAGACCTATAGTTTTCTAACGCTCAAAATGCCTTCGAAAAAAAGACCCAAATGAAATTATATTCTTTAAACCGACATGGGTTCTCCAAAATGACAATGTCAATGGAGTTTCAATTTCAAAAAGGAAAATGAAAAGGGAAAGAGGTTAAACAAATGCAAAAAATGTGTGAAAATGCAATGAAATTCAAATACAAAGAAAAAGGGTGTGTTTTTTTTTTTTTTAATGGTTGAAGTGGATGGGAAGGATTTGAATATCATTGTTTAAGATTGGTTGTTTGTAGTGTGAATAATGAGAGCCATAAGTTGAAAATAGCATAACCCAAAATCAAGAACGAGTTAGTTCACGTGTATCCTCATGATACTCGAATAAAGAAGAATATATGAATAAACCGAGATTACATTCAAATGAAAATAATTCTGAGGATAAGATGGCTAATACCTATACAAACAAGATGCACTTTCCTTTTCGTTGGCTAAAGTATAGAAACTCTATAGTTAAGCGCGTTTTTTCTTGGATGTGAGAAGTAAGTAACGTGACTATGTCACAAGTGATGCAGGAGAATGTCGAAGACATTAAGTGTCGAATCTAGATTCCAAATCTTGGGCATAGGTCGTAAACCAATAATCAAATTAAAAAAATTAAAGCTTTGTCTCATATGTATACCAAAGTCATACAAAAGTTGATGATGTTAATATGACGTAATTAAGCTGCAAAATCCTTATATGAACCCTAATTTTTGTATTTCTAATTCTCTGCTGAAGTATTTTGGAAACAGTAAGTCCACAATAAAGAAAGTTTTTTATTTTCTTATTTACGTAAAACTTGGGTATTACACTTCTCTCTCCGACAATCCTGGAAACACACACACACACACACACCAATTAACATTTGACTACAAATAATTAAAATTTGTCTTCAAAAGAAAAATATTATTTCAAATGATAATTTAAAACGTGACAATTTGATCGGTGAAAGCCTTGGAAGGGCTAAGGGAAGATTCCCCGCCACCTCACCCTCCATCATTAACTATATACTAATATATATTTATAATTTAAAAAGAGAGAGAGAAGAATAAATAAAGCTGATTAAAACGCGTAAAGTAGAATTAGAGACAGGACAAGCAGCGGAGTTTTGTGAGTGGTGAGATCCGAGATTAGGTTTGCTGAAAACCCCTCCAAATTACTTAAATTAACAATAAAAGTACCATCCTAAAATTGAAATGAACTTTCAATTAATTAAATATATATTTCCTTATTTTTCAATTTGTGGCTCTCATTTTCTTAATCCCGACAACATGTCGATTAATATATGTAACAGCTTCACAGCTCATAAATGAATATTCTACTGTTTATTTACTTAATTAAATGCTTTCATGATTCTAAACATATGTTTAATGGATTTGATTCCAACATAATTTTGCGATGGTCAATTCCAACTAAGTACCCAACACAACACAACACTTGTAATTTATATTATTATATACATACTCCAAACATTACGAGCATGATATTACAAGTTGTACCCTAAACTATAAAATGTCTATCCTCCTCCTCAAATGATATAATTAGTGGTATAATATTTATTTCCTCGCCATAATGGAATAAGAATCTATTAAACAAATCTACCATAAAAATTAAGCTAAGATTGAGTTGATACGGTAGCTGTAACAAATCTTATAAATAATAATGCATTTCCTTATACATTCCAACCAGTTCGTGGCTCTAGATTTTGATAATCTACTCCGGAATAAGATGCTAATTAATCCAATTCATATATGTGTATATCCTAACCCATAATAAGACAAGCACACGGAGACACAAAACATATATGTGAACAAATATTTATATAAATTCATATATTCAAATAACTCTAAATTACCAAATATAAAAACATGATTAAGAAGTTGAGATAATTTAATTTATTTTTTGTTGAGTTGGTTGGGACATCTCTATGAGGTATATATTGAAATTAGGTTAAACCGCCAATAATTGGAGCTTGGCCGTATCTCTGATTCAAAGTCAATGCTTATATGAACACTTTTTGTTTTTGTTCTTTTCATTTTAAACACTATTTTTTTTCCTAAAAATTTTTCATTAATAGCTCAATTCAATGGACCAAAATTACTCATCACAACACAATATATACAATTTTAAAATTATTTACTTTTAAAATGATTATAAAAAATAAAAAAATAAAAAACAAGATCATCTGCTAATTGATGAAAAATATAATTCCGAAAAATAAATGTAGGAATTTTAAATTAAATTAAATAAGAAATAACGTCACTCAATCTCACCAAACATAATTGTTGATCATATATTAATTAAGCTAATCCAAATGCCAACAATATAATCTTTCCCAGCATCATTTTGTTCATGTAATTAAGCTTTATTAATATTCATATTCATAAACTTGGAATTTATTTTTTATATACAGAAAGTTTAAGAACAAAAAGAGCGAGAAAATTCTAACTTCTAAACTCTTGGTCGAAACAAACCGCATAACCAAAGAAGGATTATATGAACTCGAGCAAAGTCTGTGTTAGCTTGTTCCCAAGATCTGTGGCTGTCATGCAGAAACCAACCTCCATCTGCAACAAGGTAGAAAATATTAATGAAATGTGATTATGTTTGGTGATAATAGAGAGAAAGGAATTTGACCTGAGCAATAATGGTTATATCAAGTCTGGAATGACCAAATGGCAAAACGGAGCTATTCACAATGGTTAGCTTAAGCATCTGAATTTGGGTTAATATGTTTGAAAAACAGCCTTTTTGTTTCTTGCAATGAATTCTCACAAGAACATCCCTCTCCAAAACCCTTGTTTCTATCTTAGGAACTGATTTAATTACTCTCCCCTCCTCATCTCCTGCTTCTTCCTCAGCCCATTTGACACGTTCTTGAAGCTCTTTCACGTACTTGATAGCTCCCCCAAGCACTGAAGCCTTGTCTGTCTGTCACCATAAATATTAACCCTTTCATATTTCACATCAACTTACCAAATGAATTCAAAATCCTTAAAACTTGGTTAAACCACATTGAATTCAAAATCTAAGATTAACCCTTTTTTGTTCTTAGTAATTGGATATTGTGAGCAAATTTTTACCTTGTTGAGGCCGGGGATTAGAGCTGAAAGAGCAGCAAAGCTTTGGCTTAGCTTCTCTCTTCGTCTTCTCTCAGCTATAACATGTTGTTGACCATTTCCTGAAGTTCTACCAATTGTTGCACGCTTCGTAATGTCATGGCCTTCTTCATATCCAATTGCATACCTATTTTGATTCACATCCAAACTTTGGGGTATTATAAACGACAAATCTTTTCCTCTCTCGTCCTTACCCATCGCACAATCAAGCTTCTCAATTTCCGGTGAATCCCCAAATGAAATAAACTGGGAAGAGGAAATAGAATCAAGTTGGACCGAAGTAAGGAGTTTCTCGGTCGCCGGAAAATTGGTCGGAAAATTGAGCTCATCGAGTGTGTAATCATGGGGATAATTTGTGATCTCGTGTTGATATGCACAGTCCATCATTTCCTAAAAGTCAAAATATTAATTCACAACCATGAAACGAATTTCAAAGATGAAGAACAAAGTATAAGAAAAGAAAAATTAGCTTACCAGTTCGGATAACCATTTGGGCGATGAGATTTCCATCAAAGAAAGAGTTGGCTGAATTCTTATATATGCTGAGAATCAAGATAATCAGACAAGTTTTAATTATATGCTTCAAACTCACGATATACTCCAAAATTAAAGGAAAAAACAACAAACCCTAAAGAAAAGAAAGGTGTAAATTAAAATGAAATGAAATCAAATTAAATGGGAAGTTTGGAAACATAAATTAAACCCTAGTTGGCGACCTCTTCTTCCCCATACCTTGAAGGCTTAGAGTTTGCAAGGATTAGATGCTGCTTTGCTTTCTCCCAAAGCTTCTATTTTTCTGTTCAATCTTCAACTACGCTAACTGGGTGAGAAGTGTTTTGGAGTTTTGAAGTCTTTAAATACTTAGTTTTGGGTTTGAATATGTACATAACTATCTATCATCATTCACAATATCTGGTTCTACCCACCTTGGCTTCCATCATATATAACATTTTATTTTCCTATTTTGGAAAGGGAAACTTAGTTTTGGGTCGGATTTAGTAGTGCACAACATTTTAATTAATTTCAATTTTCTATTTGTCTTTTGGATGGCAAACCCAACTAAACAAAATAATAGTAATTATAGAAAATTAAGAGAGAGAAGTATCTTTGTTCAAAATACTACAATATTATAAATTTTGAATCTTTTTTTTGGCTATATATCTTGTCTGAGTTTTTTTTTTTTTTTTTTTTTTTTTTT